CATCCATCAGTGTATTTTTTTACTCAGATACTATATTATTCATTATTAATATTCATATGTTGATTGGTTGAGATAGAGAAACACTGAGATAACTTGAAATATAATTTTATTCACCCTTATCCTTCTGTAAGGAATTCAGCTCCTTCAAGTTGAACATAATGACAGACAAGTGGAAGCAAAATTGCTTCTTATTTTCATTTTTATTCAATTTTGGTTTGTAACTAAATTAAAAATTGAGCACTGCACTGGCGGGTGACACTCCTAGAGTCCCACCACTGCCATCTAAAATGCCTCTGCATTTTTGAATTAGATAGCAGAGCAAAATTCTTCACATCACAATTCAAATGACAAGGGCCATCTTAAAATAAGCCCATCTCATTTCTTTTTACTAACTCACTCTTATAATATGTTACTACTTACTATCCTAGATACTACTAAGTGACCATAAATAGTACAATGATCTTAAATGCCAACACTTCCAAGAAACGAACCACTAAAGTGGTTTATGTTCTTCACTGTCTCTTAAGGAAATTGTTTCCCTGTGAAGGTCTGTCCAAAGGACCAACTAGCAGGGGCAACATTATAAGAGACTGAGGTTTGGCCATCACTAGTGGTAACCTTAAAAGAGAGGCTTTGTCCATTGAGGTACGAGTTGCTTTGCCAATTCTGACCCCAGTTCCTGGACATTGGTTGCCAATTAGTTCTTGAACCTTTGATGGAAACTGCTCGAACATCACCAGCACCACCCACGTTGGTGATTAGGACTAGGTTGAAGTAAGAGTGGCCATTGATGGTGAATCTGATACCTCCTAACTTTTGACACGGTACCCTGCTTATAACAAACATTTAATACAATCAAAATGTTTGTTGTAGACAAAAACAACCTAGGCAAACTATAAACAAGGATCACATGTCCCAAAAAATTCTTGATCCAATTAACATAATTTAAAAGATAAGAAAGTTGTTAGAAAAATGAGTGAACGTACCTTTTGTACATTATGGGTACTATGCCAGCACTGTAATGAGCTATTTGTTGGAAGATGGGCTGAGAGAGATCAAAATGTTGAAGGGGAGGGTTGCACCAGCCACCTGCATTATTTGGTAGGGCATTGTTTGGTGGGCAGAAATTGGTAGCTGTGACCATAATGGAACCAGGTAGACACCACCTTTGGTCATTCACACACTTAATCTCAAAACATGCCCCACAGCTCTCACCATTTCCAAACAAGGCTCTACTTAAAGCAGCTGTGTCAGTACCATACCCTTGGCTATACAGGTTTCCATATCCACAAGCTCCACCTGCAACAATCCCCAAAGTCATTATTGTCTTATCATATCAGATAATAAGATTTAGGGCAATATATCTCTATTTATCATTCTTGTCATTTACAAGTTACACCACAAGCTCTAAGTAGGGATTATGGTGTATATTAATTAAAAGAAAAACTGTAACAAATATCAAAGTAAATGAGTTTGGCCTCCAATTCATTACCAAAAAAGTTATTTGTTTTATACAGCATATTTAAAATATAATATTCATTAGGAAGCTTCATAAACACAAGTTAGAGTGAAAAGAGCATGACATACCCATTGTGCCAGAGGCATCCCCTCCTCCATAGAAGGTTGCATGAGCTTCCATCCAACCATCACCATTTGCATACACACTTGATCCTACAGAGAGAACAAACCCCACCAACACAATCCCCAAAACTCCCATCTTTCATGTAAACACTAGTACTCACTCTTTTGCAATGTTTATCAAAGAGAAACAATAGCACCTTAGTAGAGAGTTGGGATACAAGTTGTGATGAAATGCAGTGTATAATTTATAGGTGGGGAATAAATAGATGCTGTAAGGGGGTCTTTTTGCTTAGCCAACGTGATACATACACGAAATGACACTATTGTGAAGTGTAGGGTTCTTAAACCGCCAAGTGTAACTCCTTGATTTTTATGCAGGGACAAGTCACTTTTTCCTTATACCACGTGGTTTTGAACCCTTTCTCTGTGTGTACTCAAAACTCATGTAGGAGCTAGTAATTATACCTGTCATTGCCTTTTCAAGGCAACTAGCCAAGTATCACATATTTCAACTACCTCTGCTTACTTACCTGCTCTTTTATTTTTGTTTCTTTCTTCTCTAAATTTAATCAAATTTTAACCAAACCAAGAGTTGATTCAAACTCCTTTGTACAAAATATTTACACCATATATAAGTGCACTACTTTGATATAAAAGTAGACCTTCATGCACGCGTGACAAAGTTATATCTCATGGTTTCAAAGATAAACAATGAGACCAAAAATTCTTAAGCAAACGGTTTAAGATTAAATTACTAAAATCAAGAAAACGACCATAACTGTACTTCTCCTTTTTGTACGGAACAAACATTATTTAATTGACCACACCAATAGAAAGTGCTCTTTTAAGATTGTTTCTTAATGCATTAGAAATGAATCTGTTGATATTATTAAAATATTGACATCGATAGTGTAATTACTTGTACGGCAACCTATGAGAGAATGAAGCTTGTGAAGATACTTTTAAATGTTGGATGAAAGATACTTTTAAATGTTGGTTTCTTATGTAATGAAAGAGTAGTAGTTCATTTATAAGTAGAGGAGAAGTTTGTCATTCTAAGTTTTAAAATAGAAAGATGAATAAAATCAGATGAATATGTTCAAACAATTTATTATATTACTAATTAAGAGATAAACGAAATAAAATTAAAGTAATTAAATGATAGATAATATAATAGGATAAAATAACAGCATTTAATGCATCTATCTCTCACCAAACGGCACCTTGGTCTAAAAGCATATTCAAATATCTTAAATGAAACTAGCCAATAATTTGTACGAATTGAAGTGAATATTAATTTCTTACCTTATGATTGAGGTGGAGAGAGAGTAAACCACAAATAGCTACTCTCTCAATGAATTATGGTAGGTTGCAAGCTTACAGAAACAGCTCTTTGTTTTCAGCGGTGCTATCATGTAACCTTGCAACGTGTAAGTCCGGTCATGTTGTGAGGTTGACTATACATCTTGAGGAGAGATTCTCTATCTCTGTCTTTTTTATCATACCCAATAGAATTACACTATATAATATAAAATATTAAAATTTGATTTTATAACTTTTTTTCTTGAATTTGGGGACAATAGATGTCGATCCATATATCTTACGGTCAAAGGAGGACCAAGACTATACCTCATTCTCATTTATTACTTTGAAAGGCTGAAATCACTAACTTGGTATTGAAGTTAAAGTTTAGCATGTCGTAAATATCCTTATATAGTTTAATGCTGAAAAATTAACATTATTCTTACCGTTATGGGTGAAGTTATAGTAGTACTTTATAATATACTCGATGCTCTCTGTTTATTCCCTCCAATAAATGGGATATAATCCTCTATATTATTGGAAAAATAAGTACATGGAAAATCAAAGGATAAAATGATATAATATGATATTTTTACCCTTTAAATATATTATCATGACTCTTTTATCCTTAAATAATACACATACAAAATAAATAACTTATTTATCTATAGGGATGATACTTTTCCCCATAGACATAGTCATATAACGTTTCTAGCTCCCACATTGAAAATTTCAATTGTTTCCTTTTGAGATTCTCTTCTGATGACTTCAGTAGTACAGTTATACTGCTGTCTGAATTTACAAATTATGACCATTGTTGTTTGTTGTTTTCTATTAGATGGCTTTGTGGTTCTGCCTGTCAGCTGTAAATAACAACAAATTTGCAATTTCTACGTTACTTTTAGGGATAGCAGTATATAATTATACTTTATAAATATCCAAATATAAATTAGACAATAAAATATTTCCTTACTTAAAAGATAATTTATCTTCTTAAATCTACTCATTGTTTAACATGTGTCATATTTTGCTTATTTCTAAAAGTTTTCATTTAAAGTATATATTATAAAAAAATAAGACACATATTAATCAACGAGTAGACAACACAAATTAGTGGGCATGCATACAAATAAGGATGAAAAAACAAGACTTTTTTATGGTTTCGATGGATAGTCGACAACACAAACCAACCCCTAGAATCACTTTGATCTCGTAAACAAACATTGCCCACGTATATAATATGTGATAGAATGATCTTATATTGGAATTCTTCATGCACCTCTTCCTTCTTTTACTTTGGTAAGGCATCTCAAAGAAATAAACACACTAACACTAACTAGTACACGTCTTTTTCATTACTTTGGCTATAAGAAAAGAATCACCACGTACATACATGACGATACCCTTTACCAGGTGTAACCTAATCTGCGGTGCTCTTTGTTTCTCTTCTAATCAATCACAAATGAATTGTCATAATCATAAATAAATACAACACTATACATATACTATTCATACAAAACTATAGTATGTGTCGCGAGTGTTAATGCCACTTTCTTATTGGATCGGATGTAAATACAAGTTTAATTCAAATTATTTTTAAAAATGTGAAATTCAAAATTAATGTAAGATTACCATCTTTGAAGGAAGAAGAGTAACTTATATTTAATTTTGAAAAAATAACTATTTGTAAGAAACCGATTAAAAGGTTAAATAAAAACAAAGTTTAAAGCAAAGTAAAAAATGAATAGTTATTATTTGTAAAATAAAATAATTATGTATAAAAATTTACATTGACATTTGAAATTAAAAAAAAATCTCATGATGAGGTATTGAGTGATCTTATATTTTATATCTTCATGGTTAATAAATGATAGATGAGATAATGATATTGTATAAAACTCTTCCATAATAGTACATACATTGTTGTGTAAAGTAAAAAAGAAAGAGTATCATAAGCATACACCGAAAACTACATGTTTGGGCCAAATATAAGATAGGAAACCATTGTGATGGACAAAAATAAGCCCAAATGAGGAAGGATCCATCTCCAATTGTGGATATCCAACCCAATACACATATGATCAACGATCATGACTTCACGCCTCTCACAAACTAAACCCTAATTTCTGTGCTCCTCATTCTCTATATATAATGTCCATAACCTCCAAACCCTAACATTCCACCGCCCATTGCAAAGCTCTATGTCCTATATTTCTTCCTTCTCTCGTTTTTCCTTTCGAAGCATGATCATGTTAATGTTTGTTTTTATTTTTATTTTATTTATCACGATTGTTTTTTCCCTTCCCCAGTGCCTATGATGGTGTTAAATATACTCCGAGATTTATTTCAATGATATCAATCTTCATCTGAGGCACTCATTTTATCTCACAGGTTTTTTGAATGTTCGTTATTCATACTGAAATTATTTAGCTCTAACTGATTTTCAATTACTGCATTTCTTTATGTAAATATTGGTTGGTAGATCTTAATTGTGTTGTGTTGTTGTGCAAAATCTGATAATATGCGCAAATGAAGACAAAGATAGACAGGGACATCAGATCTCAAATGATGACTTCGTCTAATGGGAATCTCTCTGATGCGCTTATATAATGTTAATCATTTCATTGATGATCATATTGTTGCTGTGCACATAAATCCATGTTTTCAAATATTCTTCATTTTCTTAGCATTATTATATTATTTGCAAGTGATGATAAATTAGACAGGGACATCAGCACTCTATCTAGAGAATGGTGATTTGTCGATGGGAATCTCTCTGATGCAAATGCAATACTCTTTTTTGGAGAATCATTTTATATTTCCATATAAGTGTTATTTCAGCAATGATTTAAAAAAATTTAATCAATCATATTTTGACGATTACGCGATAAGTTTTTTATACATCAATGTTTTATTGTTTGATGTTCATGAAGTATTTTGAATTCAATATTTACTATTTATTTATCTATTAATAAAATTATTTATTGTTTACTTTGGGTCCTATTAAGAAGATTATATGTTTCCAACATTAGATTGAAATGTAGGGAAGTAATTTGGCCAATGATGTATTCTATTGTAAGCATTACCAGATTAAGTTGTGATGATAATGCAATTGTCACTACCTCTGAGGCTGTATCCTTTAAACATGCACATAAGGCAGTTGTTTTTGTTACTGCAGTGTTTTATTTTGGTGATTGTTGCTGTAATTGAATGGCGTTGTAGTTTCTTTTAAGCTACAGAAGTAGTTTACCCCAGAACCCAATCCAGTTTGTTTTAAACTTACAATCCTGACGATTGTCTTTAAGAACGGAGATTCAAACGATGCTTTTGTTGAAGCATGTTCAGCTCTTGGCTCCTGAAGCATCTGATGTGATAAATCCTTTGTCATTTATTAATGAAGGTCTTTAATTGGAATGTTCTTTCAGTTTGGTTTATGACTGACTGAACTTGCACAGTGCAACAAAGCAAAATTAATTTGCTTTTATATAATTTGTTTGTTTCAAATGGATGGATCTGTATTAGTACTTAGTAGATGGATAGTTAGACATCTAATAATCCATATAAATTCAATTGAGTTACATTGAATTATCAAACTTATTCAAATGCAAACGAAATTGATGGAATTCAACTGGTCAAATCTATCAATGAATCCATTTTGAAAGTTGAGTGAGGACTCTCAGATATCACTTGATATGATAGCAAGAACTAAAAAGACATTAAAAAATTCTATTAAATTTTTATACTATCAATTGACTCATTAGTCAATAGCGTTCAATTTTATCGTTATTTACTTTTAAAATTTATGTGCGTAATATTAAAAATTGGACTAGAGTTTACAAATAAACATTTATTTCAAACTTTATTTTCATCTGGTTTGTGTGCCTTTCGTTACTATCGTTATAATATTTCTGGTTCGAATTGCTGGTGTGCTTAAGTCATATATGGTGGAAAATATCATTCTAATCTTTTCCATCATATATTTACTTAATTAATAATATATATACAATTTTCATTATATTCATAATAAAGAAGATTTTATTTAAAATGAGTATATATTATATTTAATTGGGTTTATGACATGATTTGGCTTTTAACCCGGTAAATATTTAATATCAGGTTAGCTTTGGGTCTGAATTCAAAAACATAACCCGGTTAACATTTTATCCCAATTTGATACATGCATTTTCCTTCGTTAGAATTTAATAGGTTGATAGTATGATACAAATAATCATTTTTTTTAAAAACTTATTTTGAAGTAATTATATTTCCTCCCTTTTTAAAATGAGTGTACATGTATATAAATAACAAATAAATGATCTGAATAAATTATCTTTTCCATGAAGGTAAATCTTTGCTTGCTGGACAAGAGAATAGCAAGTTCAAATTCTGTCGTAGCAGGACATCAAAGATAATTACATATCATATGATATTCAAAACCATTTCATATTTAAAAAGCACGTCTATTGACTCTATTCTCTAAAACACAAACTGAAAAAGTTATATTCCTCGATATTTTTAAATATAAGGGTAAGAGTTTTATATAAAATAAACAAAATAAAATATTAGAAAAAGCGGTATATATAATCATACAATTATTATATTGTAATTTTGCACATAATCCTATTTTGTTTAGGAAAAATAATATCTTCAAATGTATAATAAGCTGACGATCTTACCTTATTTTAGTGATCACTCACCACATTGACACATATTTAGAGATGTGAATAAAGTATAAACAAATAATTAGAATTAGAAGAGTAGAAAATTGAAAATGTACGGGCCATAAGAAAAGGAGTAGGGATGCCTACTCTAAGAAAAGACGTTTGACATAATCATTCCCACGTGTCATTGTCATGCTTGTCTAACCACAATGTTGATTCCCATTACATTATGATTAGCTAATGTCAATTATTTATCACCCATCATACCACTTAATTGAGTCCATTATACATCGGGATGACAATGAATTTCGATGGGTCCGGGTAGTGTATTATTCGGACCCGCTCGTTGTTTTATTTTTTGATTCAGACTCGTTCGAGATTCGTGCTAATATTCGTTGGGTATATTACCCATAGGTCCTTGGGTACCCAGGGATCCATGAGTGCCCATAAATTTAAAAATAAAAAAATAATTGCAATTAATTTATGCACTTGTTTATTACAATTTTAAATGTTATTTAGACAATCAGTGAGATAAAAAAATTATAAAAGATAATTTAAAGTTTTAAACACAACTTAGAATATTAAACACAACTCATTTTATTCAAACATACATAAAAAACAACTTCAACATTATGATAAAAAATTCATTTAGTAAAAACTCTTCAATTAATAAAACATTACATCATACACATGAATTAACAATATAATATTATTGCTTAATAATATAACATCACAGTTTAACAACATAACATGTATGAATTAATATAATATTATAATTATGGTTTAATATGATATTATAATATGAATTAACATTATATTGCAATTATGTTGCTATATATATATTGTTGCTATAAGAAATAGCGGGTCCAGATAGCCACAGGTCTGGATAGTTCATTCAATGTTATAAAAACCGTACCATATCGGTCGGTTCAACCGGAAAACCGGTGAACCGGACCCTTAACCGGTACAGGACGTATGTTATATCGCATATGCAATAGAACCGGTGAAAACCGGTTTGTACATTTTTTTTTTAATTTCAAATTTTCAATTCTTCACAAATTCCTCAACTTCAATGATTAATACTTGTGTCATTTATTTGTATTTTGCGTTTGTTAAGTGATAATTTTGGATTAATATATGTTTTTCACTTTAGACTTTGATTTTGTTAAATACTTAATGTTGTTTTTTGTGTGAATTTGGAGTAGATTATGAAGGATTATAAATATGAATATCTACTTATTTGAATTTTTTTGTTATAGGTTTACATATATATAAGCAAGTATGTCCGGCTTAACCGACATGCAGTTTAATTACTAAACCACTGATTGAACCACTGTACCACTATACCAGTACCCTGACCGATTTGATAACTGATACGATTTTAATAACATTGAGTTCATTACCCAGACCCAAACCCATCTAACAGCGGGTCTCAATTATCCACGGGTCCAAAACATGGACCAGACCTGACCCGTTGCGAGTATCCTTAGATCCATGTACCAATTGTCATCCCTAATTATACATGTATTCCAAGTTGATTTCCATACAAATTAGAATGTAATATTAATGTATTGTTATTACAAGGTTTATATAAGATTATTATATTATTTATTATTTATCTGAATTATTTTATTAAAGAATTAATAATGACTAAATAAAAATAATGAATGATGTAATAAAAATATATAAAACCTATATACTATTGTATATATTTTATCTTTAAAAAGTAAGGGTAAAATTAATAAAAAGGAGAAAGAGACAACAATGAATAGAGATTAGGATATGGAAGGAGATATTTTTGTATAAAGTACAATCAAGTTTAATACAAATCAGATGTAGGAAATGTCAATCTTATCCTCACTTATTTGTCGACACCCCCCACAAAATGATTGCTGTACTATGTGAGAGCGATACATTTTTGAACATGTGTCCATTTTTCTGAAATAGGCAATTATATGGTAAGTTACTTCATTCCATTTCAGCTTAAACTAATTATGTTAAAAAACAATCTTAGATCACCAAATTAATACGCATTCATCCTAGTCCATGCATCTCATAATGTCGATGACACTTCAAAGGAATATCATTGGCTTTTAGCAAAAGAGATGAGGTTACCTTTATGTGACATGGTTAAAGACATAATATAATGTGTTGGAAAATGGTGTTTTCATTTAGAAAATATGATACAATTTATAACCATGCAATATGGGAAATTCAATTGAAGCTTGAAAACCATATTAATTGGACTTTTGTTCATGAAGAGAAAGGTACCTCATAGTTGGACTCTTAGTTGTGATTTACAAACACATATAAAAACCAAGCATCTACAATTTCCAAAAGCTCCACTCTAATTTCTTTGATTTGGATTGAAAATGATTCGAATCTCACCCCATAGAGATGTGCCTTCTCAACCTTTTGAAATCATATTAGATTTATGTTGAATTAGATTCCCCATTAAGCCATTACTCTAACATTGTGGTTTATGAGTATAATTCCACTAATTTGTTCCAATATTATGATTCTCCACAGCAAAAAGGTTTATCGTGTGTCATTAATAAATACATAAAAGAACATAACATATTAATAGTTTATATATTTATCACTTACAGAACATTTATTATATCAGTATGGACGACATGTAAAACTTCAATTTTAACCAATATTGATCTGACGAAATTACTATTGTTTTAGTAAAACTATTTTTTAAAATACAAAAAATAGTCTCCTGGTTAGTAATTAAGTAAACATCCAATTGAGGGTTAGTATCCATGTAGGAATATTTATATATAGTTTTATCCAAAAACCAATATATTTATTAGATAAAAACAAAAGGTTAATGTTATTATTTTAAACTCTACCAAATTTCTCTGTTAATGGGTCAAAATACTAATATCAAATATAAATTATTGTATAAAGTTTTATGTTAAGTTAAGCCAAAATTTATTTTAATTTAAAAATAACTTTAAATGTATACTTCATTGTGTCTTATGTTAATAAGTAAGAATGAATAAATTTTGACGTTAAATAAAGTAAGCACCAATTAAATTGGTAAGAGAATTATTGAAAATTAATTTCATTTTCTAAATGTTAATTGGAGTAACTTCCTAAGAATAGTTTTAAAACACTATAAACTCCATTTTTGAAAGTTATAAAGTTGCATTTTTGTTTACTTAATGACTTTGGTTTATTGAATGAGTCAAAAATTTACAGTCTACTTAAAAAAAAATATATGTCACGTTCTCAAACAATGTCACAAGTTATATAGTCTCAAAATTATGAGGGAACTATTTCACTCAAAAGTTTGTTTACGCTGATGGTAACAATGGCAACTTGTTTATATATAAGGATAATATATATAAAATAGAAAGTACAAAAAAAATGACAAGTTGTGGTGATGGAGCAATGTGATGAAATTGACAGTAGCCATGGTAGCAAGAGCGTGTATATAGTAACAGAGTTGCAGTGACATTGGTGGTTATATTATATATAAGAGAACTGACATGGATTCTGATGTCAGGACTATGTGCATGTTTATGTTTCTGACATGGTATAAATATATATATAACCATGTTTTTTTTCATGGTATTTAATAGAGTTTACATGGTTGTATCACCGCAATAAAGGTACAGCTACGTGGCTTTATAGCCTGTACTTCTCCTTACTCTCACCCTAACTCAAATACAGATTATTTATCTCAAAAATGTGTTCTTATTCATGTCCATTGAATAAAATTGTGAAATCTATCCAGAAGAACACACAATTCTAATTCTATTTTTTACTACTTAAACTTTTTTTTTAAATGTCACAAATTTATTATAAGAAAGTTTCACACATATTTTTGGGATATGTGATTTGTATCCACAATTTTTTTAACAAATTAAACAAGGTATTACATGGTGAATGAATTAATCTTTTTAGAGTTTTATGATTGTCTCTTTTCAATAAATTTATTATGAGTGATTGAACTTTTAGCCGATAGGAACCGAATAAGATTTCCCACTATTAAATGAACGTTTTTTTAAATATAAATAGACATATT